TGGTGAACAGAAGAGAACTCTTCCTTTGCTCGACTTTATTGCATTCGAATGTCATCTGTGGTGGTTGTCTAGGTTGTCGTTCGAGTTGCCACGTGTTGATGATCGAAAGCCAATATGATCCACGTGTTTTGTGCCGATACGATTTGCCCTTAAGCCTGCTTGATTGAAACGTTTTGAGCTTACCTGGTGTCTGACTTGGTTTGCTAGGGACAAGCAAACGGTTAAGTGTGGGGGAGTTTGATAGACCGATAATTACACATGTTTTCACCCCTTTTCTGAAGCCGTTTGAGATGTTTATTCTCGTGTTTTAAGCCGATTTCACGCGAGGTTGTACGTTTATGTCATATTTCAGGACTTGGCGGTGGAATCAAGGCGAAGGAACGAGATTCGGGTCGAACGGAGCAAGTGAGGCTTGAAGTGTGCTGGAGAGCCAAAATACCCGGCCATGAGCATAAATACCCGACCGGGTATTTTCTGGCCATGGTCGGGGATTTCTGTCTTTGGGCGTCCGTGAGAAACAGAAGGAGGCCCGGGCAAAAGGAAAAAATCCCCGGTCGGGGATTATTGGAAGAGACCGGGGATTTTCCCCTGGCATGAAACGCGCGTTTTGAATATACCCGGTCGAGACCCAAAATACCCGACCGGGTATTTCGACCGGGTATCGCGACCAGGCAGCAGATTTAAGGGAAAGGAAGGCCAACATTCAAGGGTTTCGAGTTTTTGAGAGAGAAAGAGATTCCTAGAGAGAGAACGCGACGAACCAGAGTTCCCAAGTGCCATAGCTTGATCTTCATCACCATTGGAGCCCGGCTTGAGCTTGGAGGAGTGCCGAACAACGTCCAGGAGCAGAAATCCATCCTTCACAGTATGATTTCCGCGTCTGAATCTGCTTTTGCTTCTTTCTCTATGGAGTAGTTCCCCCATTCATCTGGGTATGGGGAACCCTAGATTTGTATGCTAGGTCTGATTGTATGAACCCAAGTACAGAGTTTGTGAATTGATTATATTCGATTGAGGTTTGAATGATTGAATGACTTGAATCCTGATCAAATTCCTGTTGTTTCTGCTTTGACCTAGAATGAGAATATTTGCCTAGGTTGATAGAGTATCCCTAATTGAAGGTAGCGAATTGGTGACTTTAGTCGAGAAGCCAATTCGCTATTCTGTACCGAATTCAATTCGGTAGTGGTGGTTTGGCTCGTTAGGGCCTCAATCTGTTTACTCCGGTGGAGGTTAGTCGCCCGCTAGAGACTCAGATTGAGAGGGTCTGAAGACCTTTAGTCGAGACTTCGGACTATTTAAGAACCTTCCACAGTATAACTTTCATGAAAACTGAACTTGGTAAATTACAATCCGGCTTAACTGCAGACTAGGGGGAACCATATCCGGGTGACCTCTCTTGACTTGAACAACCGTTTAACTTGCTTTGCGTTTTTGTTTGTTTGAATCTGCACTAAAAGTTTCATTGCTAGATAATACGAATTCACTGAGTAGTCATCACATCTAGGACCCGGGTTGACAATAAAACCCAAACCCGCTATACTACGCTTTAGGAAGTGGTTACACTTGGCCATTTTCTAGAGTGACAGTAGGAGTGAGTCAGAACCAATAAGACTTTGGTGAGTAAGATACCGCAAGGCAATTTCACTATCTCTACATGTGTGATTGTAGCCTGTTGACCATTTGGCAAAGTCACAGACATGATACTGACAGCTCTACATCTTAGAAATAAGCTAAGTGAACATACAATATGATCACTAGCTCCTGTATCCATAACCCATACATACTTATCAGTTCTGGTTTGAGAGATTGAGAAGATTGAGTTACCTGTCATCGGCAAAGAACCAGCCATAACAGAATTTGCTTGTGAGCCACCATGTGCTGGTGTGGAAGACTATAGTAATGCCTTGAGTTTGTGGAGCTCATCTGCTGTGAAACCTGAGAAGGTTGGGGAGTGTGGTTCATGATGGCTCACAGGACTAGTGGGAGAATATGAACTTGCTCCTCCTAAAGTGTTGCCCTCTCCACTAACCACATCAACTAAGCCCGCAAACCCTCTTCCTCTTCCTGGATTACTACCTGGATTGTTACCCAGAAGCCCATTCTTCTTCTTTAACTTCCATCAGTCTTCCTTGACATGGTTATCCTTCTTGCACTATCTCCAAAAAGTTCTCTAGGTTGGTGATCAGATGATCCTTTATCCCTAGATTGGTTGTACTGAGTCTTGGACCCTGCAAGTGCAGTTGCTAATGCAATGGTTTCCTCTGACTTGCCAACATTAGAACTAGAACCATTCAATTGCCTTTCCAGTTGTGTAACTTATCTATAAATGCTATCAAGGTCAAGAAGGGGTTCAATCATAAGCATCTGGGTTTTCATCTGCTGGTACCTCTCCTTCAGCCCTAGCAGAAAACGAATAACCTTCCCTCTTTCTTGATAACACATTACAGTTTCATAGGTGCGAGAAGCACAATCACAGTATGGTATAGGTTGATAGGTCTGATGTTCATCCCATACCAGCTTCAAATCAGTGTAATATTGGTGAATATTCTTGTTTCCCTGCTTAGTTAAGTCCATTTTCTCTTGCAGATTCGCTATTCTAACCAAATCACCCTGACTAAACCTAGACTTTAGGTAAGTCCATGTCTCAGATGCAACCTTAATGTTTCGCGGACTAGGAACAATATCCTCAAAAACAGAATTCCTAATCCATCACACAACTGTACCATTAACACGATCCCAAGTTCCATAAAATGGATCTGTAGGTGTTGGTACCTGAATGGTTCCGAGGACGAAGCCGAGTTTGTTTTTGGTGCGCAAGGTGAATTCCATACACTCGCTCCATAGCAGGTAGTTGTCGTCGTTGAGCTTGAAACTGATGACTGGTAGGAAGGATTTGTCGCTCTGAGCAAGGTAGAATGGGTTGGAGTAGGGATCTTCGTAGCAAGGTGATGAGATCTCCTTCTCCTTGGATTCCTTGTCTGAGCTAGTTGAGTCATCTCCTTCTGCCATTGTTGGAGTTCAAGAATAAAAGAAGGGTTTGATAAAAGTAGAAATGCAACAAGAGAAGAATGTAGAAACAAGCTCAACACGGAATCAAAAGCCAACCAGGCTCTGATACCATGTGAGAGTTTGTGACCTAGCTCCCATGGAGGCTAGGGTTTGAACAAAAGAGAGTATTAGGGTTTGATTTTGGGGGAATGTTGCATACTACACTACACTCCATTCCATTTTCTCCTGAATATATATACAGAGTTTAATTACAGTGTTCATAATCTACTGTAGTTAACGGCTAATTACAACTAACACTCAAATTCCTCCAATATGCTATTGACAACTGTCCGAGACACGCATAAAACGTCTGAAGCTGTTCTTGTCTTCAAATGGCGTCGCTTCTCTTATTTATCTGCGTATCAGCAGAACTGGGTAAAAGGAAGCCCGGTCCAACCGTGATCCGACCCGCTCCGCTTTAGTCTTCTTCTTCTTCCTCTGCAGAGTGTTCCATTATGCATTCCAGCTTCGCTGCAACTCACCATTAGAACACTCTGCTTCACAGTGCGGAAAGGTGAGAAAATGGATTGATCTGAGAAGATTTGAGCTAGTTTTTGAGAGGAAAATGATGAAGACGATGGAACAAGCAAGACTTAAGATGGGTTCAGTGGCTGTGAATCCCAAGAAGGAAGAGGCGGCTTATGAAAACAAACAGGATTTATGGGTTGTGAACCTGATTTGTCTTTCAACGCTCACATCCAAAATGAGAAATCCAACAAGAGATAATGAGTAGGGGATTGTGCATTGCTCTCCTTGATGTGGAAACTAAAGGGTGTCCAACGGTTAAATGGATTTCCCAACTTCAATTTGGAGGTACTAATACTTTATGCATTCAGTAAGATAGTAATCTTTATACCGTGAATTCACTGGAATATTAGGTATGTATTACATTTTACTCTAATGGCTAAACCGTTGATCCTAAAATTAATATGAATTGGAAGGGGTCCGGATCCCATCAGTAACCATCAGGTGAGTAATCCCAAGCATAACTCAATAAGAATCCGCCACATCAGCACCTCCTTCTCTCTCCTCGAAAAATCTTTAATTTTTCTTCTCTTAATCTTTAATGGACGATTTCTCACTCGTTTTAACCCGGATTTTTTTTTTTGCACAGTTAGATCAAATTAATTGTGCTCTTCAAAATGATATCTACTTTGATATTTTTTGGAACAAAAAAATTTTGTCAGTTATTACCAGTCTATACTATATGGTATTGACTGGTATTAAATAACATTATACCATATGGTATGAAAAATACCACCCCGTACCAGGGTGGCATAGTATGGTATGGACTATGGAGTTGGTAACGAGAGGTATGAAATTTTTTCACCCATAAAATTTTGAAATCCAATAAATCATGATTAAATCGTTCCTTCTGTGCAAAAATTTCCGAAAACGATTAAACAACGAAGGAGATACCATATGGTATGGAGTTGGTAACGAGAGGTATGAATTTTTTTTCTAAAAAAATATTGAAAATGGATATCATTTTATAGATCACAACGAACTAGTTCCATCTGTGCAAAAAAATTGAAATCCGAGTTAGAATGAAGAAAATATGATCCAATAAAAAAAACTAAGAAAAATAAATTCTTTTAATTCTACCTTAGATCTGCAACCACTTAAAAGAAGGGTCCGAATTTGGTTGTTTATAATTACTCACCCTAAGGTTACTCACACTATCTTGAGCCTTGGAAGGTATCTCATTCTTTACATAATTACATATCCAAGTTTTAATCTAGTTTGCATTAGTTTGTTGATTTCTTCGCTTTTGGATGCTTCTTTTGTAATTTGGAGATTGAACTTTGCCGTTTTGTAGGATTGCCCTAGCATTCTCGTCTTGTAGGTATAATATATCAGAGTTACGCTTTTCCTAAATTAATCTCTTTTTTTTTTTCTAAGAAGATAATTATTGTTGGTGGCACATGTAATAATGACGTGGCAGCTACGTTTTCTTTGGGAGCTGGCTAGACGTGCTGCCAATTGGCACCTCTTGATGGCAAGGGATCCTTACTATATCCTAGCTTCTACTACTTCTGCGGTAGTTAACACACAAATCTGGAGCTGGATTTTGTTTTGTATGTTTCCTTCCTCGGTTCTGTATGACCCTTTCGCAAGTTCTTCATTTCTAGAGGACACCCAGATCCATTTCACACGCTATTCTCTTCCCCTATACACTTGTCATTCTTAGTAGCAACACACGGACTATAATATGCAGAGAGTTTATGGCGACAACAGAACAATGGCTTTAATCCAATCCGTAATGCCATCTCAGTCGAACATCACAAAGCACGTTGCCGAGTCATTATTAAGCAGAGAGGTGTGCTCAAGTTCTGAAGTTATCAAGAGAAAGTACCCAGCTAGCTACATTACATTACACAAACACCAGGCAGGACAACAGGCCTCGCATAATTCCTGGATAGTAGCATATCATCCGCCCTCTCAAATAACTTGTGAGCGTTCACATCCACATTAGTCGGTTTTTCAAGGCGTACATAGTCAAGCCCTGCAACATACTACTCAGTCTTCCGGCGGAACCCAAATATATACAAAGCATGTGGCACTCAGATAAGTGTTTAGTCTTGAGGAAGGTAACACAGCATTAGGGGAAATGAAAAAGAAAAAACACCGAGGAAGGTTGTCACCGGAGCTGAAGCAACGTTAGAAACAGTTCAACTAGGCGGCTTCTGCAAACCCGATTCTGAGGTTGCCGTAGTCAAACACGGTGTGGTAACGGCCCATGAAGACATCACCCAAGATCCTGCAACGGCGGAGACAAGCAAGTTATACCGAGAATGACCGGAACAACTTTGGGAAGGGTTAACATTGCTAAACCCAGTAGAGTGGAACTCTTCCAAGGCAATGATGTGAGGGAGGTAGAAGCATACCAGAGAGGACCACGTGGTGGCGGGACATCAATTGCTGTAAACCCACTAATGCATTGAGCAGCAGCACCCTCGCCAATTTTGAGGACATACTGAGGATGGTCGACGCAAACATAGAGAAAAACAGATTTCAGCAATCACAAAGGTCAAACAGAAACCATTCAGAAACTGGATGGGTGTAGATAGATGCCAATCAATTGCTGATTCTCCCATTAGGCACGGTAGAATCATTAGGCATGGAAGACATGCCCGCACAATCAACTGTGGAGTCAAAACACCACAAGATGTCGACAAGCCAAAACAATTACCTGTTCCGGAGTAAGGTCAAAGACCTTTCCAGCAATAGTAAATGAAACATTAGGCATGGTAGACATGCCACCACAATCAACCGCTGATTCTCCCATTGGGCTGGGGATTCGATCACAGAGCTGCAGAAAAACCAGATCGCAAGATGCGTAAGCTCAATGCTGACACTGCTAGGGTACACAAAGCGTGTTTGTCATCCTGACCAGGAAGGAAATCAAAGTGGACTTCAATTATCTTACATCATTTGCGTAGTCAATGATTTGTTCCTGTGTTTCATTCTGCTTAAGCTTGTTCTGCATCCAGACAACTGCCATCTCACAAGCACTGCATGTTGCGTCACTGGTAGCACGAACTGCTTTCTCAATGTTTTCGTTCACCACACTCTGAATACCCATGCTGCAAAACACAAAATAAATGAAGGCTAATGTTAGCTGCTCAAGTTCGAAACAAACAAATCCTCAAGCAGCATGGTAAAATAAGCAGGCATCGAAACTAACCTAACACCTCGTGATCCATCAAACTCGCACAAACCAATCTGGGAGCAGATCTTTAGAGGTTCATCCTGCAATACAACATATCATTAATTAATTAATTCATGTAGGGACCTTCTAGGTACTATTTAAATTAGTTGACCAACAGATCACAGGCGAACAAGTACCCTTGCTAAAAGCATCCGAATAATAGTTTCTCCGTATTGAGAAACTACAAGCTTGCATTCTTGGCTTACGACCCCAGTAGCACCAATGGCATGATTAACTTCTGCAATAATTGCCTGCAGTTGAAATGCATATGGTTATAAACACTAGCACAACCCATCACCACATTCTAGTGCCAGTGTGCCACAACAACAAGCAGAAAATGTTGGCAAAAGCTTTCTGGCCGATTCTTCGGCATGTCCTGAGGAATAATAGCAGAACAGAAGGGGGGGGGGGGGGGGGGAAACCATTAATTTGTAAATTCTATGAGTTCACTACACACCGTTGGTCCAGCTAACAAAGATGTTCCAGAGTCAGCAATGGCTGCACAACCACCAGAACAGAATCCTGGAGAACCAAAAAAAAAAAAATCAAGCCAATGAAGAAAATGAGACAGCTGCTCAGTACCAAGCCACTAAAGAATGTAAGCAGCTCACCAGTAGACTTTCCACCAACCAAAACATCACCCATGTCAAACTGTCAACAAAGAAGTGGACAAACATTAAGCATTTTGACGTAAACTAGCAGAATATGAGATATGAAGTTGAGGAAATGCCTGAATCACGAACCTGCCAATACCCTTTCTGTGTCACGGGGACATATGTGTGCTCACCCACAAAGTGATTAGGATCCACACCACCAAAAACAAGTTCACCCCCTTGCTCCGCATCAGCATTGCGGTTAAGCCAGAATGAGAAAACAGGCTCATTGATGAGTCCTTGCTCGATCATGTCATACCTGAAGCATATACAAGAAAGTTGAGATTTGTTAATGATGGCCAGAGTCAGGGCCAATCAACTCATCCTTAGCAATTTTATCCAACGGAAAGCTATTTAGTAAAATAGCAGCTATACCAGACAGGGACGGCATTTCCGACAGAGATCTCCTGAAACCCAAGCCCAAGTATACCATCAAATTTAGCTGCCAAGAATGTGATGCCCGGCTCCTTTGTTGCTTCAATAAATTGCTGGAACAAACGAATGGTATCAGCACATGAAGACATCTAAAAGCATTACAACCATTCATTTAACGACGCAAAAAACACAACACATTAACACATTACTTACCACATCCTTGACAACAATATTGCCAACTTTTACACTATCCTCACTGAAGAAGCCAGAAATAGCACCAGTTCCATACTGGATAGCAGCAGATTTTCCTGCACGAGTAGATATATTGAGCAGCGTTCTACATCCACTAAACCCGTGCGGCCGTGCCAAGTAAATTACTGAGCTAGTAGTAAATAGGAATCAGCAATGGCATGTTTATTCATGCTGATATGGCATAGTCCAGTGCAACACAATTCTAAAAGAAAAGGAAACCTCAAAAATAATGAGTGGGGAGAACCAGGTCAAACAATGCATCCGCCGAGTCGAACACAGTCAGAATGGAAGCGACCTCATAAAATTTATGTGTTTCTTAGACATAGATAGAGCATACCAGATCCACATAGATCATTATGATTTTGGTATCATGAATGAAAGAATACAAGAATCCCCAACTCCAACTCCAACATCAAGATATACGACTTATAACTAAGAATCAGAAACCAACAACAATGATAACAACGTGATGAAGCATTAATTTGGTACAAAATCATCAGAACCAAGCAGCGCTAAGAAACTTTTGACATAAGTAAGAAGACGAGTGGACAAACCATTCTGCTTGTATGTACTTGATTTACTTGACTTGTACTTGGGGTGGAAATAGCAAGCAAGCTGGAAAACAATAAGGAAAATAAAATCAAACCACCGGCCATGAGAGGAGAGAGCATATGCCAGCAACACATCAAGATGCCGACTCACTCACCGAGAAATAGCACTTGGAAGAAGGCACCCACAGGTTAGAACTACCAGTGTCGAATATCACCGTGAAAGTCTGCGCGGGAGTGCCAATGCCAATCTCACCAAAGTACTGAGCATCCATGTAGTTCTTCAGAGTCACGATGTCGGTCTCCGCATCCCCCAAATTCCCACGGAAACGGTACTTTCTGACAGAAGAATTCAACAACTCTCCTTCCTTAGACCCCAGCTGGGCAGCAACACGATTGTTCTGATCAAACTTTCTCTTCTTGATTCCAATCCTGACCAGCCCATCATTGGGCGCAGCAAAAACTAAAGGCAGGAGGAGGCAAAGCAAAAGAGCAGCCGTGACAGGCCTGAACGACGTTCCCATCCTCGCTACTGCAAAGGAAACAAGATTTCATCCCAATCAACAATACTTTATTTGAAACCCGTATAACCATGGCCGTAAAATCAAACTTCTTTGACATGTTTCCATGTAAAAGCATATAGATCAGACTGATCCCCACGGCCCAAACACACTAACGGACAAACAAACTACTAGAAGAGACGGACAAAAAAGAACCCCGTCACTTAGCTCTCCTGTTGTCAGAAGAATTAGTGAAGCAACACCTGAACCGACATACACAGTAGCCAAAACATTCACAAACCCAGATAATAAGAACTCGAAACAAACTCGGGGCCATCCCTAATTCCGAGAACCCAATAAAAAAGTATCCAAATTTACGCAGAGCAAATCCTCGAGAGATACTATGAAAGCTCAACGGAAGAATCTGCTACACCGGCGATCAAAACGCAAAACAAGCAAACCGATCAAATTTCCCCCAGATTCCAAGCAAACAGGTACGAAGACAGCGCAGTCTATCAGTCAGTCAGCGAAAAATTGGAAGTCAAACCTCTCATCAACACACGGGCATCACTCTACTCACAGCCGGAACAGCATCGACCAACCAATGGCTACGAAGAATCAGTGGGGAAAAAGCGATCGAGCAACAATAGGAAGGGGAAGAGACTTACTTGCGTACGACGATCGAGAGGGGAAGGAGTAAGAGCAGAGCTACGAGACAAGTATGGTGGAATGGGCTCTAGTGTCGAGCGGGGGTTGGGGGTAGATATATTTGGTGCACGAATCGGTCCGCCCGGTTCGATTATTTAATTCTCTTTTATTTCTATCGAAAAGCGGGGACTTGTTTTGATCTCAACCGTACACGTGTCGGGTTGTTGGGGGAGTTGTGCGTTTCGTGTAGACTAAGAAAACGGGAGGGAGGGTGTGATTGGGTGCGGTAGAAACCATGGGAGTCAATGAATGGTAACTTAACAGTACTCTCAGTAAAGCATAGAATGGAAATGGGAATGGATCGACCAATGTGAGGAGGGAAGCGTCTGGTTCAGAAGTCAATCAAAGGATATCATTGTTGGAGGTTGAGGCTATACAACAAAACGCGATAATATATGAGGAAAAAGAAAGCTTGTTTTTGCAAGTGGTGAATTGGTTTGTCTATATCCTATGATTAGATACTTGTGCTTTGATTGATTGATTTTTGTTTCCCCAAGCTAGAGAATACCTAAAAAAGTTTAACATGTTGCTTCCTCAACATTAAAAAAGTGTTATCAACCAGATTTGATGGTATATTTGCCATTTTTGGTGAATGTCCAAACTAGATCATCAATTCATCATCTTTAGGAGTTAGGAGAAGTAATGAGATCGATAGATTTTTAGAATTTGTTGATGATTTTCAGTGCAAAGTCATTTGTCTGATTTTCAAATAATAATAAAAAAATGGATAAAGGTGATGTCATTTTACTAATACTAAAAACAAAAAACAAAAAGGAGAGATGCAATGATTCTGCAAACAAAACTAGAACTGAAAAGGAAAAGGAAATCTCCAAATAATCAAATTTTTATCAACAAATGCATCAATCGCGCTTTACGAACTTCGCCACAAGTGATGGAGGTCTTGTAACCACATTCTATAGCTGGTTAGTGATCATAACCTTGTTAAAAACTCAGAATTCTCATAATCTTATATGACCAAAATTTCTTCTCGCTTCATAGTTAATCCCACCTGACTCGTTTCATTTTTGTTTTTTCGTTCTCCTGTTCCCACCAAACCCATGAATCAAACTTTGTTTTACATCAATTATCTCCTCTTCAATCATCTTATTACATCAAAGTTATACAAACAAATGCAGCACAAGTTTTGCATTCACATTCCCCCACACGCAACAAGGAATCCGGCCTCTTTCTTTGTGAACCTTCCAACCTTTTTTTATATGTCTGATTTTTACAAGCAAGAACCAAATTGTACTATATTATTGGTTTGGTAATTGAAATGGATTTCGTACACGAATCTCCATTCTCTTATATACACTCCATATATTTAGTTGATAAATAAAGTATTTACGAAAAATCACGAATTTATCAATTTGTCCTGACAATTTCTTAAATTTCTCACTAAAATCCAAACAATAACACAAATTATGATGCTCATATCTCCATAGCTAACCTGATTTTAAACTACAAAACTTAAAAAAAAACACATCATAAAACCCAAAAGCGGACTATCTAGCTAGCTAGCTCAATTATATTGGCCGCTAAACCAGAAAATTATTAACAAAGAAATCCAAAACTAAGATCGATCTCAACAGCAACCCCAGTAATTAACAGCTACAAATTAAGTCACTAACACAAAAAGAGCAATCAAGTGGTGTTGTCAAGGTGCCCATTCCCAATGAAAGAAGTCACCGCCGCCAGCAGCGCCGCCGTGAAGTTCGGGTCGGCCGTTATAGCCGCCGTGGCCGCACTAACGATGTCAGACGACGACGGAGGGCCTGCAGCACTAGCATTATTGTTGTTGTTGCTGCTGCCGCCATCGGGGAGCAGGCTGAACAGATGTTGAGCGGCGGCGGCGGCAGGGAAGGTGTTGCCAGCGGCGGATTGGTGGCGTTGCAAGGGTGACGTGGCGGCGGAAGCTGGGTGATCGGTTAGGTCGAGAGTGACGGTGGGGAAAGGGGCGGAGGCGGAGAGGGTGGCCATGCTGGTGGGAGGGGCGGTGGTGAGTTGGAGAGTTTTGGCGAGGAGGTTGGTGTTGGGGAGGCCGTCGGCGGAAGGCATGGAGCCGGAGAGGAGCATGGACGCGGCGGCAGAGGTGGTGGAGGCCATGGTCATGGCGGCCGGAGGGAGGGGGTGGTTGTGGTGGCCTTCGTAGGTTGTTATCAGGATTGACTGGTCCTCCGCACACCTTTGCACCTGTGTAATTTTGCATCCACAAGTTTAAAACCTGTTAGAGGCCGGTTTCTAACTTGGAAGATTAGACATATGAAGCAAAACATTTATGTATACTAGTGTTGGTCATGGCCAGTTGGCCGGAGGAAGCTGAGATATGAAATTTGATAATGTAATGGAGTGTATAACTTATTGTTGTATAGTTTTTTTTTGGGAAACATGTGATAAAGATAGTGAATTTTAGTAGAAAAGAGACATGAATAAAAAATCGCATATCCTGCCGGTTTTCGGAAAATGAGCATCTCACAATCGTTGCTAGCTTTTACTCGGCCCGTTGACCGATTAATTTGCTTTACAAAACTTTCATGTTGTCATCATTGTGCTTTCTGGTTTTTTGCTAGACCTTGATAAAATCTAACGAAATCAAGAACAAACAACACGATTTGGGATGGGAACCGCCGTTCCTGTATCCGTAGAAAATGGTGGTAAACACGGACTCACCTACCAAACTAGTTTGGATTGAGATTTTTATCGGGTATCAGGGAACCATGTGATTATAAATTAGACTTGATCAAAACGGGCCAAAACTTGAAATTCAGCCTGTTTGACCGACCCATGCCAAACTCTAATTATTCTTTACTTTTAAACTTTCTATTTGAAAATAAAAAATATTGAAAAAAAGAGATGAGTTCAATTCGCCATTTGCACGTCACTGATTCTGGCATAAAACCATAGAAATTCGAAAGGAAATTGAAAATATTTAGGATCGTTTTAATGTTAAAACTAACCAAATAGATCTTTCTGTTTAGTTTTTTACTAACAAATACCAAACGATTCCCTATAAAATACACTATAATTTAATCATTATGGTATCAAATAACTACATAATATATATTTGAAATGATAAAAGTTGGACTAATTGGGTTGGTTGAGGTTGAACCATTGAATAACTTTAAAATAGATTATATTTTAGGCACTAAGATATAAAATAATAGCATAGTATATATTATGCAAGAGAAGATAGCTTATTTTAGAATGGCACATCCATTATGTTCATTAGTTTTACTAGATGGCCAAATCCCGTGTAGGTCAGGCCCATTCAACTCTTTTATTTTATGGTTAGCAGTTAGCCCATTAGAATCCATGCATTAGATTATTGTTAAATTTTTTTTTAGTAATAAATAGGAGTATTATTTTTGCCTTTTCATATATATTTTACCACCACCAAGAAATGAAAGGGCTTAAATAAAAAAATTGATACTCTTAGACCCGTTTAAATCCGCATGTGTACGGTAAGTTGACCCGTTCCACAGAGGAAAGAGAAAAAAAATTGACATTTCCTATTCTACCATTCCTACAAACGCTCATAGAGCAGGGAATTTGAAATGGGAGAAGGGTTTTTCGTCCCTGCTATTATATGTTTTTAATTTAAAAAATACAACAAATGTACTTAGTGTGGTTGATTATGATCCTTGCTTTACTTTAAAGTGGTCATGGTTCAAATCTAACTACGTATTTTTTTAATGAATAAAAAAAGGTAATTGTGAAAACCAAAATGTCATTCCTACTTTCACTCTCGTTGCAGGAAATTTGAAATGGAGAAACTAAACTAACCAGAATAGCCTTGACTCTACCCATGCAAATTGTGTCATCAACCGTCGAGCATAAGACTTTTTTTTATTATAGATTGTTTTGATACTATACGAAGAACTAATTAGTCTCAATAACTCAAGAGAACTTCAATTATAAATTATATACTATTTACAGAGAGATGGAACGTTGACTCAAGTTGAAGAGGTTTCTGATTTATGAGTCAGTATTGTTTACAACTAATCATGATTAATAACTGTTGTTGTTGAGTACTCATAAGTATTAATACTTTTGTTTAAAAAAAATTGTTATGATATAAACATAATTTGTATTTTTAATATTTGTACTTTTATATGTTTGCATATATTTTTATATAATACAAATTTAGTTTATAACTATATTTTTTGTGCACAAATTTCTTTATGATAAAACTTTAATTTGTACATGAAAACACTAATGTACGTCTTATGAGCATTGTAAAATTCCTCGTGCTGTTACTATTGGCTATGCTTTGATTAGGGTTTATTATGTTAACTCTACTTTATGTAACATTGAATCTTAAGAACATAATAAAGAAGACACTATCGTCATTATAGAAATGTAAAATCTCATTAGAAATGAACAAATTAAACCATGTTAATCTCGTGTTGTTTACTTTCGGCTTTCCGCTCATACTACATTAGTTTTCACAATCACCTAATGTTATGGGGAGAAAATCATTTCTTCAACACCTCAAAACCTATGCACTAAAGTCTCATATGGTTGGACAATTCGTTAATTAGGCAAGGGGTAGGTAGTGATGGAGGAATTATAGGGGAAAATTAAACCTGTTTGCGGACGGGGCAACCAGAAGCCATGGTGCAGCGATAGTAAGCTCGTGGGCAAGGGTTCCCTTTCGCCATCTTCTGCCCATACTTCCTCCATTGACACCCATCGTTCATCTACAAACAACATACAATAACGTCAAGTCAACAATTGCGTGCCCGCCGCTGTTATTGATCGATATTAACATATCACGTCTAGTCGACTACATCATATTATATATAATATTATACCATGGTGGCCTCGGAGCGGGCTCGAACCGAGACCCGAGCCTTCTTGATCATGGAAAGCGTCTCAGCTCTGCGCTCCTCTGCATCTGCTGACGATTGTGATGAATTGTCAAACTTAGGGATCTTGTTCGCGGCCCAACCACCCTGCTGAAACACTTGCTGCTGCTGCTGAATGTTGCCATTTTCTTGACCTGTACTAGTGGCATTCCCGTAGGCATGATGATGGTCCGAAGATCTCAACTCATATCTATGATCTTGACCATTATGGTTGTGATTCTCCCTTGCGGTGCTGCTTCTGGTCATGATGACGTTGTTGTTGGTCGGAGTGTTGCTGCCCTTTGGCGGCGACGACGACGACTTGCGGTCCATGGACTCCACTATGTTGTTTCCCGGCGGAGATAATATGGAGCAGTCAGCGGACCTCTCTTCGTCGGACGTCGACTGCGACCTCTCGTCCGCTACGCCCAAACCGTTTTTGTTTTTGTTGTTTTTCATCTGAATGAAAAAAATTTAACAAAAAGTGCAAAAGAGGTGAGGGGCAAAAAAATAAAAGTAAAGTGACACTGAAAGGTGGAGAATCAGATGTGACCAGAAAGCAACATCGTGCGTGCGTTACGTTATTATTTAGTTCGAACCTTAGAAACAACAATCCGAAAAATGGAAAAAAAAAAAAAAACACTAAACGAGGAAAGGGTTTTTCTGTTTCGATGCACACCTCGAGCTCGGTGTTGGGTTTGGGATGACCATGTTTGTGGTTTTGCTGCTGCTGCTGCTGCATGAGGGTGAGGAGTTGCATCTGCAAGGTCTGGTAGTTGGAATTCACTTGATTCAACATGGCTTTCAGCTGCTGGTTCTCTGCTGTCACGCGCTCCATTTCGGCCTGCAATACGGCCAACTGGCCCGATCCCCAACCGACATTCATTCAACCAACCAAACAAAAAAAAAAAAAAAATTTGACTTTACCAAACCATATATCGTGACGGCCATCTTATGAAGAAGAAGAAGAAGGAATAACTAAAAAAGAAAGAAATCACATACAGAGATCCAAGGTGAAGATATTAATTAAGAGACAATGAATTAATGGCGACTCATGAGCACCTTGTTTCTGTTGCGGTGATCTTCTGTGTCTCCGTCGTCTATTAATGCGCTCGATTTGTCGCTCCCCGTAGAAAGATTTAGCCCCGTCTGCAACAACACAACAGATCAATTAGCGTACCACCATCAAACACAAACACAGATAATATTAAGGAACGAACGATCGAGAAAGAAAGAAATTCATAACGTACGTTTACAAGGGGCGATGCGTGGCCGTCAGTGCTGATCTGATCATCTTGCAGCATTAAGATCATGTTGTTGATGATCCCATCATCCATGGCAGCACCAGCACTACTCCCAATTGGAGCTGTTGCTTCCTCTCTCTTGGAAAAGAGGAGGTCGTTGGAGAAGAAATCCACTTCGTTGATCACGGTCCCTCGTTTCATACAACCTGATCCGGCAGGGGAGAACACCTGCTGCCGCACTGCTGGATCATTATCGTCCTGATCGTCATTCTGACGATCAGGTTGTTCGTCGTTGTCCCCCTTCTCGTCTTGTTCATTCGAGAAAGGGGACAGGATGGGGAGCGACGAGCAGTGGCGGAGATTGTTGGGAGGATTATCATGATCTGCATCAGTACTAGCAACGGTACTGGTCGGGTCAATGACTATACGAGACATGGCTAAAAGAAGAGGGTTTGAAACAAAGAAAAACAGGAAAAAACTACAAAATGAGTCGTGATTAGGAAAGTTGAGAGAGTGGCATAAATCCCACAGACACAAGTATTCAACCAATTAATTGGGAGAGTGGGTGTAAGAGAATGGTAGCAAGAGGAGGTAATTGATGAGGTCGTTTGTGAGCCATAGAGAGGAAATAGGAAGGAAAGGAGGAGGAGAAAGAATTTTGAAGTCTTCTACTCTCTCTCTAGCTAATTTCTACTTTTATTATTTTGGGAAAATATGGGAATTAATCATAAGAATTAATATTAAAAAAAAAAAAACAAATGCAACTGTGGACTCGGCATAAAAAAGGAGTTGGACTAAGACCAAATGTAAGAATGAACGAGTGGTGATGGGAGTGAAAGAGAAGAGAGAATAGGCAGACTGGCAGACTAATTAGAATTACCATTGTTAGAAAAAACACAACAGAAAATGCTTAATGGGTTTGAAAGTCACTATCTAAATTCAATTTCCATCTCTTATATTTTTCCCTAACGACATAGGATAGAAACCCTAAGTATACAAAACGTCTTAGAGAGTCGAAGCGTCGAACTAGTTACAACATGTCAGTTCGTTTGCTTGGACCGTCGAGGATGGATCGAACAAGTTTTATTGGTTAGGTATGAAATCATATAAATCACTTTGATTTGACTGGTTTACATGCTCACTATTTTAACAAAAACTAGATTTGGGAATTAATAGGTCTTGCCAATTTTCAATGTTTTCTCTACAAGTTATAAAATCATAAACAAATATCGTGGGAAATTATAACCCCTCGTGTACTACTAATTATAAAATCATAACTCTATATATTGGTAATATAATGAATTTCTTTATGTGATATTTACTTCCTAATTAGCAAATTAATTAACATCTGCCTATAAACATAAAGTAAGCAAAAGAAAAGGAAGACTAAGTTTGGATTAAAAAAAAAAAGGAAGACTAAGTAAGCAAAGGAAAGATTATTGTAGGAGAGAGTGAGGTAAGGTGGTGCGTCGATGGGAGACAGGTGGCCTTTTGCCCATACAGTTTTTACTCTTTGTTTTGACAATTGTGATATCTGAGGAAAAATTTGTGGGAGAAGAGATCGCTAATAAAATGCCTATTTTAGTTTTTGCATATATTCAACTAACCAAACACAACCTTCTTTGCAAATGGACAAAAAGAATAATTTCTCAGATTATTGATCTGATACTCCTAACTTGGTCAATTACCAAGTTATTATTTATAATATATATATATAACTAAATCATGTTTAGGGTTGCCTAAGAGCATATTGTGTGTGCTCAGTTGCATCTAAACATTTTGAATTAGGCTTGGGCTTGAGCTTAGACTTGAATATGTCATTTTAGTTGCTTTTAGACTTTGGATTGAGTTTGCACTTTGCAGTAATGGGTCATTCTATTATGGTCTTTTTGCTTTTTCTCACAAATTCTCTAGAATCCACGTTAGATCTACTAATTACTTTCATCCCATACAATGAAAATATAAGCCTTGCATTTTTCCTCAACAAGACAACAACACATCTGTAGATGGTCAAAGTCGGATCAAATAACATAGTATAAAAAAATCGGATAAAATAACATAGTATAAAATAATTGAAGGATTCAAGTGCAACCACACTTGACGATTTCTCTACAACTCTGAGTATGCGATGCATGTAATATCTAGTCACTCTTTACAAAAAATTTAAAGACAGACCTACTTAAGCCTGTTCACTTCCATTTTCGTTTCCTGTTTTCTGTTTTCATGTCATAAATTTGGCAACCGAAACGAGAAAACTTGTTTACTTTTCATTCTGTTTTCTATTTGTTTCCAACTATGAAAGCATAAAGTGGCAACTTCCTCCTGTTTTCGAAAACGACAAAATGTTGTTTTCACTTGTTTTCAACATCTGTTTTCTCAAAAACAAGAAACATAAATGAAAGTAAACAGGCCCTGCCTGCCATGAAGGAGAGGAGAAATACGAGAAAATCCAAAACTTTATATACGGGAGTTCAAAAACTGGACGAGGAAATTCAAACATGAGGTGTGATGGCTAGGATCAATCAGTGATTAAATCAAAAATTTGAATGAGTAGGGAATGATTTAAAATGTCGTACTGGGGAAGGGGAACTAAAGTCTTACCGACTATTCTAATTTCTAAATTTATAAAAATTTACAAATAATTTTGGGGTTGTGTGAGCTACAATCCCTTCTAAATTCAACATTACTCTTGCCACTGGGTTCAACACTAATGGCCAAACCATCATTTACTGCTTTTTTCCCCCTCATATGACTTGCCTTCTTATTTGTATGACCTTAACTTTTTTTAATGAAAAATGTAACACTATTGATCATAAAATTCATGCAGAAGGAAAAAGAGAAAATCAGAAACAAATATCAATTACACATTTCTATATTTTTTTATGTAATTACAATGACGGTTTACCCAGCAGCATTCATTGTCTAGTATTATATACTAGCTTTGACCCGGCCCATTGGTCGGATTACTTTAATTTACTAATTATGAAATAGGGGAGAGAGGTAGAGCAGAAAAACATTTATTTGGGTCAAACCCAAAATTTAAATCTATTTGAGTTCATATAATTATACATATAAAGAAATATCGACCATCTAGCTATTCACATTAAACCAATTCACACCTTCATTATTGATGTTTCCACATTTATGTTTGTTATACAAAAAAAATTGCAAAAATTACATTAGAGTTGATATTTTGTTTTTGTAGCCAATGTAATAGGTCTAATTGAACAGACACTCTTCATTTCCATACAATATTTTCCAAGGTCATAAGTCATAGTTGGATCAATAGTTCCACCGGCATCGTTGGAGCTTTTCTGTTGCTTCGGCGATTCTCTCTGCTTTTGCTTGCCTGTTGTGGTGGCCGAAAGGAGGTGATTTGATTTCGTTAGTTTATCCCTTCTTCACCGGAAGATGTCTTCGCGCTCTGGTAAGAGCTCTCCGCCGACGAACGCGACTTCCTCGTCAAGGACATCGAGACGTATACCCTACCTGTTCTTAGCAGTTGTGAGACGGTTTGAAAACCCGTCGCTGACACGGTCGAGCCAGGTCGGTAACCCGTGCAAAAATTGGGACCTTGGATTCCAATTTCTTCCAACCACGTCACCGTCGCCGAAAAGAGCCTTCTTTCCATTGTCAAGTAAGGGGTTTGGTTTGGCCGCAAGATACAATTTTGATTCAAAAAGTGGTAGAATCGCCAGATCTCCGTAAGATGATTTTTGTGTTATTTAGTATAGCCTGGTTTTCTACTTTTACGATTGATTAGATGGTTTTGGGATCATTATGACCATACTGAAAGAATAAGCTTTTTCATTTGACATCCCTATCCTTTTCGAATTTGGCCAAGACGCTAGTCGTCAATATAACTCTCTCTTGTATAGCCTTTTTGTTTTGGGTGTATCAACCCAAATTCATTTCTTTGTGGGGAAGCCTTTCCTGGAGATTATGCTCCGGATTCTTGTGTTGCTGGTCGGATTGAGCTTCTTGGGGATCATTGCCGGATCTTCCCCTTTGGTGGTGACGTAGGTAAGGTTTCTCCGATCTCAATTTCGGTGGCTCCTTTGATGACGCCAACATTTATTGAGTTTCTTTTTTAATCCGCTGTTTTTTAGGGCCGATTGATTAATCATCGGTTACTGCTCCATTTTAATTTATTTATTTCCAGTTCTGGGACTAATTAGAGTCATAAATACATTTTGCCTCTAACGTATCTTACCAATTTGAATTATTTTTGTTAATTCTTTCCTTCCTTTTTCGTCGGGTTGTACTATGAATCACCATCATTATTCATTACTTATGATTACAGGTTTTTTCATTTCCCTTATTACAGGTTTTTCATTTCCCTTATTATGTAAATATTGATATATGGATGACCAATGACCTACCACATTAGATGCTCACTTGGGAGTTACATGTATCCCCTATTCCTACATTATTATCTCTCATTCATATGCATTGATATAAGGATGTAGTGGTTACCAAAGTGTGCCTATAAATAGAGCATATTATTGTATCAAAAGTGAAGGATGAATAAGAAAGCTCACTTCCCCTTATCTTCTTTGTGTCTTTCCCTCTCTAATCTTCTCTTGTAGTTGTTTATATTTTCATTAGTTTCATAACACGTTATCAGCACGAAGCTCTGCCAAAATTATCATTGCTCAAACCTCAAAGACTCTCGACATAATCTAAGATATTGGAGTAAGATCACAATATGATCAAGGTATGTAAATCTTAGATCCTTTCTTATCTTATTGTCTTATTTGTGTTGAGATTATCTCATTCCAATATATCAAGATGGGTGCTACTTCTCATATCCATTGATATTTTATCACGTCGATCTATTTGGATTAACAAGAAAAGTAACATAAGTGATGAGTTAATTTCTCCGTTCTCCGTGTTATCCTATTATTATCAATCATACATTGATATGTAGAAAATGCAAGTTCCAAGAGCCCATATCTTCCCCAGAAGTGGAAATTGAAGAATTCAAGGGCAAAGAAAGAAAAGGACATGGTAATAAGAATATTGGTTCTGTATGTTACAATTGTAATGAAAAAGTGTGTTTGTCTCGAACCCGTTGTACGCAAAGGATATTATTCTACCAATAATCAAAGGGAAGAGCAAATTCAAATATGCAGATACAATATCAATATTATGGAACATATTTTTTGTATTATAAGTTGGTATATTCTCCATTAAAAATGAAAATGATATTGCACTTGAGACATTTTCATTCCCAGAAGTGAATGAAACAATCTATTTCCTGAAGTGAATGAAACTATAAACATAATTATATATATGGTAAATGTATTGTTTGGATCTTTTCACCAGAAGTGAGAAAAGAGGAGTAAAAGGAGAACTATAAATAAGGATGACACCACAATTGCATTATCAAAGTCATGATAACATAATGTACATGTTGTACATTATAATGTATA